TACGAGCTCGCCCTCCTCGCTCTGCTTGTATTCCCACATCACGCCGCTCGCCGCAGCACTGGTCTCCGCTTGGCTTTCAGATCGGCTGCTGCACGTTGCGTGTTGCGTCACTGTTGGTCAACGCTCTCGAGTGCACGGCAGATTGGGGGCTGCAGAGGCATACCTTGAGCTGCTGCTGCTGCTTGTCGAGCTAAGGAGGCTCTGCTGAGGTTTGGAGTCGTGGCTGTCGAGAAGGGTGGAGAGGATGCGCTCGCGCGTGTAGTCGTAGACGTTGACCCAGCCGTCGTCAAACAGCTTGCTGGCCGCATCGGTCACCAGATTCAGCTTGCGCCGACTCTCCTCCAAGTGCTCGGCCGCCTTCTGCTTCGTTTCCTCATCGACAGGGTCCGCCGCCGCTGCCTTACCTCTGGCCTTGCCCTTGCCCTTGCCCTATCGCGATCAACAGAAATGTGAGCGCACCAGCCGCACAGAGGAGTAAAGACTTCATCAAAGGCCAGTCGCTTACCTGAGCAGCACGAGCGAGCTTGATCGTTTTGCCCAGCCTCTGGAGAGCCTGCTGTACGGTTTCCTCGGGCAGCAGCACTTCGCACACCTTTCTCTTCAACTCGAGCAAATTAACGGGCTCCTGATGGTGAGAGACACGGAACACGGCCAAGGGCGTGGTGAGTGGATCGTCACAAGGCACAGGCGCATCACACCACACACACACACATACACACACACAGCAGACATACCTCTTCCTTGGGCGCGGCGGCAGCCGGTGCGCGCGAGGGCACCGCGCGAGTGGTGGCCAGCGTCTCAGAATCGCGCAGCCAGGCGTCGGCCTGCAGCGCGTCGGCGCGGTGCTCCTTGGACAAGTTGCCCATGTCATCGCCCACGTCGTCCTCCTCTCCATCCCTGCTCACAAGACGTTGGTCAAGAGTTCGCGTAAGAAGAACTGTAAATCAACTTGTTTAAAAAGTGTAGGACGTACTTGTCGCGGCGGGTGAAGATGAAGTTGCCAGTAGCGTCAAAGTAGCCCATCTCGAGATCCTCCGACAGATTGAAGGGCTCGATGGGCACCTCCTTGCCTTGAAGTGTGTAGCCGCTGCCGTGCGCCAGCTCCTCGGCCAGCGATGCCTCACCACGGGCTTCTTCCTCCCCCTCGAGGCCCTCCTTATCGTCGCCACGACGAGTGCCAGCCGCATTCGCTGCGATGTGGCTGTACTCTACTCGCCCGAATTCAGCATCTTCGCGGAATGTCTGCTGGAATCGACTGCTGGCTTTACGCGCAGCCCTCCTTTCCTCTTCTTCGCCCTCGCGTTGCCTCTCAAGTTCCATGGCCCTCTCCTCGTCGTCGCCACCACCGCTGCCGCCACCTACGCTCACCCCACCTTCACCAGCACGATGGTGGCTGCGTTCCTCATACTCGTCCTTGTCCTTGCCTTTGCGTGCTCGGCGTCTGTCTTGCGCCTCAGCATCATCGACACGCGCTCGCTTCGCAGGCTGAACATCTCCAGCTGCCTCTGCGCGAGCCTCTGTATTGCTATGCTCCTCTCCCTCTTCAGCCTTGCGCTTGCTGCTCTGGCGTGGATCGTCTTCCATATCTGTGCACTGTGCAAATGCACGCGGCACAGATCTGGAGCTAGCGCAAGGGTAAAAGGTTGGGAAAAGTTGAAAAAAAGAAAATCGAGGCAGATCAAATCTGTGGTGGAAGGAAGAAAAGAGGAATTGACGGCCAATTCAATCTCGACCAAGAGCCATCCAACAAGATGAAGACCAAATCCAAATCCCCCAAGACGAACGAAGAAATGGAGGTGGTGAAGAGTAACGAAAAGAATTGGGATGATGAGGCTCGGCGCTACATCGAAGGCGTAGCTGCCCTTCTCATTGCAGATTCGCGAGCGGGTCCGCTTCTCGCCGGCACAGGCTCTGGAGATGAGGTCGAGGAGAGGGTGGCCAGTGTGCTCCATTCGCTGCTCGCCGACCGCGATGCATGGCCCGCCACCGCCCGTCCGCTTCGCGATCACATCCTGGGCAGCCTCGACGCTCTGACAGCCCTCCTCATCACCAAGTGCGCCACCAGCTCTCTCCCTTTGTCTCTACTCCCGCAACTCCTCATTCATATTCTGCAAATTAAATCTTTTGATGATGACCGATAAATTTCGTGATTAAATCTAGATTGGAGGCTGGTGTGGGCCTCAAGCGCAAGGCCGCCGCGGCCACAGCCGTGAAGTCCGGCGCACGTCCGGCCAAGGTACGCGTAGCACCTCCCCTTTTGACGAATGAAGATGGAAGAAAACAAGTTGCAGCCACCGACCGTTGGTGTGTGTGCCTCCTGGCGCTGCAGAAAGCGAGGAAGGGAGACGAGAAGGAGGAAGACGAGGACGAAGAAGCCGATGCCTTCGCGGCATTTGGCCGCAGCGGGAGCCAGGCGGCGCTGAGCGCGCTCAAGCAGGACTTGGACGACAAGGCCCGCAACGCTCTCTGTACGTCAGCGAAACTGGCCTGTATCCCTTCGGGCGTTTGACCATCGTTCCACACACGGTCACGCTGACACCTTCTTCTTCTTCTTCTTCTCTTTCTTTTTCTCTTGCGTGCGCCGCGAGCAGACACGCAGCTGTTGCTGGCTCCCGCCACCGCAGAGCGGGCGCTGTCCAATTTCATGGCCCACTCCCAGGTACAGATTGTCATGTGTGTGGGTGTGTGCGTGTGTGCGTATCGTGTCTCGCCTACGACTGGCGTGTGGCGCGCTGGGGAGGGTGAGGGTGATGCACGCTCACCCCGTCTCTCCGCCAAACAAACAGGAAAAGCTGACCCTTGCCGACCGCCTGCTGCGGCTGCAGCTGTTGACCTTTGCCGCCCCGACCGACGAGGCACGTACCACGCAGATCGCGTGGCGCACACGCACCACCGCACGCCCGTTCTCACCATGGACGTTCGTCAACCATTTTTAGGAGACGAGTGCGGGCCTGCGCTCGTGTGCCGCCATCACGCGCGAGATCCACGATGTCATGCAGAACGAGGGCGCCCACGACGACGCGTACGTGCTGTCAACACAACGACACGATCAACGACACGACACACCAGCTCATGATATGCTGTCGACAACAGGAAGCTGTCGGTGCTGAAGGTGTTGGCGGGACACATGGCCGCGTGCGACTCCCGGCGGCGATTGGCCAGCCACCCGTCGACCGCGCCGTTGCCCGACCACGTCAAGCAGCGACGCGCGGCCCACCGCCAGCGACGCGTCGCCGGCCAGTGGACCGGCCGCTACCACCTCGCGCTGGCCGACCTCCTTAAGGAGTACATTAAGGTGGCGTCCCTGCTGTCATCCGAATTCGCGGTGCGCAAGGTGTACCCGGGCCTCCTCTTCAGCGTGTCGCTCGCCAGCGAGGGCGACACCCGCCTGCCGCTGGCCCTCCTCGGCGCCCTCTGCGAGCTCACCCACTCCGACGCCGACGCCGACAGCGCCGCTCAGGCCCGGCTGCGGGTGGTGGCGCACAAGCTGTTCTTCGACTTCTTCGTGAGCGAGGAGCGCGTGCTGCGGAGCAACGCGTCGGCGACGTCGACGAAGAAGAAGACGAAGACGGCCGCGACGGTGCAGCAGGCGCTGTCGCAGGACCCGCCGGTGCACTACGTCCGCTTCGCGCTGATGGCCAAGCGCAGCGTCGAGTTCTGGGGCGGGCGCAAGGAGCAGCAGCTGACCCAGCGCCGCGAGGAGGAGATCAAGCTCCGCAAGCGTAAGGACGTGCTCGCCACCCGCACCACCGAGGCCGGCGGCGATCTCGAAGGTTCGTGCGCCTGTGTTTCATATTTATATTTCAGTATTTCTATATATATATAGAAAGAGTGGTATGGTTATGATATCAACTCTATATTTAT